GTTTCCTTGCTGCCTTAGTAAAACAATCCAGTGTGGCTCCAAACACCAAATCGGTCAGTTGCAAGCAATAGGCATTCCCAGCAGTACGAGTTGCAGCATTTCACAGAGGCTGTGAGCCACGGGTAGCGTTCATAATTGCTCGTCTGAAAATGACGGACAACCCCTTTTCCTTGCTGGGACAGGTTAGCTAGCGCAGGAGTTGGGCGACCTCTTCGCACAATATCCAGCTTTTGGTGGAAGGTCCGTCTTGAAAATTGTGTGGAAAGTAGTTCCACAACCAGCGTCTTCTCCTTCAGCCATTTTGGGTTAAAATGCATTGATCGCTCTCGCGGGCGGTGCACATCCAATCGTTTTTTTTTTGTTTGTTTTTTTTAAAATCTTTATTGAACAAGTCAGGATACAATTCTCAGGAAACAGAAAAGGCGCTAATCCAATCACCGAACGCGCACGGCCAGTCTCGACGTAAGACCTTCTCGCTAGCCCAAGTACGCAGACGAGAACAAGTGGATACAGGAGATACAGATCACGAGTCTGAGACTCGTGATCTGATTGGCTATTGAAACCTGACTGTGCCCGTTCACTTACAGTGCACAGGGGCCTGCTCTGTTTAATCTGAAGGCCCCGAGCAAGTTTAATTTACCTGCCAACGCAAACTATCTGAAATATGATTGGTTAAAAACTCTACCATAATAAATAAGTTATTTATCGAGTGGCTTTCAATGTTATTTAAAATAACAGCCACTCAACTAAGTGTAAATAATATGATGTAAAGAATACAGAGAATATTTTTTTTACATATTTATGAAAATAAAATAACATAAATTATAAAATAACATAACATACATAAAAGTAAATTTACTTTTCTGAGAATGTTTAGGCCAGCAGAGAAGGCCTTGCTGGCCCTCAGGGTCCGCCACTGACTGTGCCCATCCATTTTCTGAATCGGTTATCATTAATATTCATATACGTTAAATCTTCTAGGTCACGGGACGCCATAACATTTCCTGTTTAGTTGTCTGTTAATTTTGTCTCCATTACCTCTACACAATGTGTATCGTTGCATATGGGAGCCTCTTCCAGTTCCTGCCTGTATCTGGCAACTTGGCACAGACAATGAGGAGAGGACTAACATTCTACAGTCCACAATCAGATTGACTCAAAGCGAAGATGTGTTACACTACGTGAGGCAAATGGACGTCACATCAAATACTGACTGGTATCCTTCCCTCATACATGAAATCTGTACATTCAGTGGTCTTTGATTGTGGGAATGTGCAACAATCATCTTCTTGATATGACATACTTGTATGTCATATCAGGAACCTGCTGGACCAACCAGCTGGATTATTTTGGTAAATAAAATAATCCATTGAGAATTAGGCCTTTTGTGAGTGACAAAAAAAAGCCTTATCGCTTCGACTTCACCTCATGAAAAACGGGAGCAAAAATTAACGGGTCGTAGTTATTTGTTTAGTGTAGCTACAGCTCGACCCAGTGGCTTGCGGTACACAGCTTCATTAATAACACAGCATAGTTTGCCTTTCACAAAGAAAAACCGAACTCCGTATTTTCCTGCTCACTTCTCACCTACACAACACGGGTCAGGTGTTTACTGTATTCATGATTAGTACTCTGCTTTTCTGGTTTGTGTTTTGGTTCCCTTTGTTGTGGTTACGCCTATTGATTTGCCGCTTTATTGCTCAAAACAGAAGACAAATTCCAAGTGAAAGGGCACAAATTTAAAATATTTTATTAGTGATCTGACGCAAAGTTTTTCCAAACCATATATCAAACAATTCTAACATACTGACTCTGAGATGAGTAACAAAAATAACGGCACACTGACAGCTGGTGCCCGAACATCATAAAAAAGCTAGCTTAGGTGGGCGGGCCAAAAACATGAAGTAGCTCAAATCAACTTGAAAAGTGCCTCCCTCGTCCGTGGAAATGACTGGCAGGTCAACTCAGAA